ACACTTGCATGGAAAATTCCTAAAGACTAAATAATCTATGAATGGTATCAGTTTCCAATAGTAAAATTGAGATATGAGGTTGGAATAAGACAGTTTTTATCATATACCCTTAGGTACTACTAAAATTTTTGTCACGAGTTATTTTCATTATAATTTAATATTAATTAGAAAAATAGAAAAAGTAATCCTTTTAAAGACAAGGCATAGTAGTGGTTAAGTTCAGGCATTGCAATCACTCATGAGTTTGAATTCTTTCACTGCCATTGACTAGTTGTATAATTCTGGCTCAGTTCCTCAAATTTTTTAAATTATAGTTTTCTGATTTTGTCTGGAGTGCTCATGTTACTTCCTGCTTCCAGTAGCATTTTGCTGCATTCTTCCTGACTTCCTTCAACATTTAAAAAGAATGTTTCTCCCTTCTCATTAGACTCATTTACTTCTTTTTTTATGATTTGGAGAAAACATTTACATATCATTTATTTGCTCAGAAGCATATTTGTAGAACACACAAAGAATTCTTTAAATCTAACCATAAAAATATAAATAACACAATTTTTTAAAAAATGGATAAAGGACCCGAATATGGCTTTATCCATATAAGATACACAACTGACCATAAGGATGTGTTAGAGGCTCAACATCAGCAGCTTTGGGTAATTGCAAATCAAAGAGACTAGGCTCATTTACTTCCTGTCACTGATTTAGCAGCACCTGCATTACTGGACTGGGGCTGTGCATTGTAGCCAGGTGCAAGGCACTGTTTCCCTGCTTATCTTTTTCTGCACTATGAAGATTAAAGAGGATAAGTTTTTCTGTCATTGCAACATGGCCTCTCTGCTGACAAAAAATCATTTTCTTATGTTTCAGAAATTCTAGTTTGGTTGGCAGGCTCCATTCTTTTTAGGTGTGTAGCAAATCATGAAGGAAGTGTATGGCAGGGACAGCTGCTCAATTCATGGCAACCAGGAAGCAAAGAAACCACCATTTTACTTTTTAACTACTTTTCCTGTGATTAATTATGTTTTCTAGATTTTCTCTTATATCTTCAGTATTTCCAGTATACTAATTTTAAAGTCCTTTGGTAGTAATTCCAAATCTTCTCTATTTCTGAGTTTTGGGTTTTGTTTTTAATTATTTCCTCTCTTGATCATAAAGTTTTTTGTTTTATAGCAAACCTTGTACTTTTGTTGTATGCTGAAACCTTTTTTAGTACTGATTGGGATGATATTGGTTCCAGGGTAGACATGTGCCTTTGTGTGTCAGACTCCTAGAGAAGGGCAAAGTCAGTTGGATTCACGGGTAAGTTGAATCTGAACATTGTTGCAGATTTATTGTGACTCAGTTCACTTTGTTCTCAGATGTTTAGAGGATGAGTTTGGTCTGTTATCTGAGCACTATGGAAACTCTGGATATCTGTTTGCTTTTCAGAGTTGAGTTGACAGCTTCTAGAACCAGAGAATATCTCTCACTGCTTTTGAGCACAGTTTCCTGGATTTGGGGCTCCTGCAAAGCTCTTTTCATTCCAGTTCTACTTCTTGCTTTCTGCACTTCATACAATTAATTAATCACAGTCCTATAAGATCTATCTTTTTTTCCCTGATAAAGGACTACACTGAGATCATCCATTGGCAATATTATATTTACGCTATCTAGAAACCACAGTTAATCTTTACACTGTTTCTCTTATATTTAGCATTTATTTACAGAAATGCTTTCCATGTACAAATTAATTGAAGTTAAAATGTTTTCCCCTTTACAATCAAGATATTTGAGGCAGAGAGATTTAGTAAGTGGCCTAAGGTCTTACCATTAATAAGTGGCAAACTGTGATTTGAACCTAGTCATCTGCTTTGTCTTTAACACTGTGAACATGGTTCTCTCTACCCTCATTGTTATAATTTTCAGTTAAACTTGATTCATTGAGCCTGAAGTTAGATTGCATGGAATAACTAAAATGTTAGTTTTGTTGAAATGGAATTATAATTTGGAAGGAGGGTTTGAGAATGAATTTAATGATGTCATATTAATGAGAAGTTTTATTAGCCAGATTACTGAAACATATTGGGAACACAAATTATTATACTACATCATGGTTAGCAGGTCATTTTTTCTTAATCCACGTCAAGTGTCTGAAGCCTGTGCCATCATTTCCTTAGAGAACCCCATGTTGTTATACAGTCTTTGCAATTTTTTAATCCTTTGGTAATTTTTAAGACTTTCACTTCACCCCCATGTTTTTCCATGTTTCCTTATTTATTTTAGAAATTCATATTAAGGGTGTGCTCTCTTGTTGAGTATCATAATATCATAGTCTGATATTCTCACAGCACTCAGTGAGCTTACAATTTAGTGGGGACAAAAATAGGTATCAATAATTAGTTGCAGGAGTAATGAAATGATAAAAGAGCAGCATCTATAAAAGGTTCCAATGGGAACGCATGAGTGCGAAGTGACTGAACAAGGGGCTGAGAGAGTCTTTTCTGAGAAGTACCAATTAGGCTGATATGTCAAGAATGTATTTGTAATAATTGACAAAGTATGGAACAGGCTGGCTCTGAAGTTTTATGGCAAGAAGCAACCTCATGGGATCTTTGGATAGTTTAAGCAAAGAGAGTGGTGCACAGTGAGGCTTCACAAGACCAAAGCCTGATATGCCTGGCACTACAAGGCCACATTAAGTACTGAGAAGCACTGAAAACCTACTTTTTTAGGTTGTGGTAGGTTAAATCTTGTGAAGGATGCCAGAGCTATCAGCTAATGGGTCAGCAGTGATGATAGAGCAGGGTGGATTTGCAGCTGGAACTGAGGGAACTACGTATAAGATCTAGGATGAGAGGACAAACGTATCTTCCAGCGTCAGCAAGAATGGATTGCTGGTTCCACTGATGGGAAACAGACTTATGATGAGGATAAGGGTTCAGTTTTACCAGTACATTAAGAGACACTGTGGAGATGTCATCCAGATACCTGAAGAATTAAATAGGTGTCACTGGCCTTTAGAAAGTGTTCGGGGTTGGGGTAGGGGTTGTGGTTCATATGTCGAGCAAGTGTGTTACATAGAGAGAAGTGATATGGTCAATTTCGGAAATTCCGGTGTTGAGTAGAGTGAGAAGCTTGATTGCAGAAAGCCAAGGTCAGCTAGAGACGAGGTGGACAACAAAGGGAGTGGAGTCATGGATCCGTAGGGAAAGATGTTTTAGAGATGGGCACTGTTGTACAAGTAGTACTAAACTAAGGATTGTGGTGGTTTAGTGTTTTGATATGGGGATCACTGATATCATAGAATAGTTTTGTGGTGAGTTGGATCTTCTCAACTTCACTTAAAATCTTGTGTTTGCGTATTGCATAGGGGATTTTTTTTTATCTCAATACATTAGTGCTCTAGAAGATGTACACTTTGTAATATCAGAATCAGCATTAAGGCAGCTTCCATACTACTTTGCTGTATTTAATTCTTCTAAGTGGTCACCTTAAGCTTCTTCTCACTACCAGTGTCTTTGATCAAATGTTTGATTCTCTTAGAGTCTGAGTTCCCTATAACCCACAGTTCTCTGCTGCATTCCTGCATTGACCTAATACCTTCATATATACAGTGAAAGCCTGCTTGACTTCTTTATTCATTTTATTTATTGTGTAGAAGTGATGTTTAAATTACTAGAAAAATATACTGACAATCAAATTTTTAATGATACTGGCATTTCTCATTTCTCAATACCATAGGATTGTGAAATTTTCTATCTGGTGTGCTTCATCAAAGCCAGTATCCTAAACATGTTCTAGGATATGCACACCATAGTATTGATAGAGAAAAATCCCTCTGTTAGCTGCTATCTTTTTGAGGTGGATTTATAATGTATTCAAAGATATATACCAGGTGAAATTTTGCAAGTCTGAATCTTTACTAGTCATCCAGGGAAGTTTCAAAGAAATAGAGACTTTCCAGACACACAAAACCATTTTCACATTTTTTTTGCTATCTAATGAGTGATCAAAGATGTGTGGATTTCTCAGTTTCTTTGTGTTGTTCATCTCAGAAAAGAAATGTTGTAAAGTTTTTGAAGATTAGTTAAAGGACTCCTTGTAAAGCTAGACAAAACTGTCAAAATTAGAAAGAGCATCCCTTTGGAGGACTGGTACCAAAATTTTATGTATATAGTGTGAAGGAAAAAAAAATCCCAAATAATCTATTTTTAAATAAGAGAACAAGTTTGAAGTTAAAAAAACAAAGTACTTAGGTATTTTCATACACAAAAAATATAGGTCAACAAATGTAATATACTACTGTCTGGCCCTGTTTTCCTGGACTTTACCCTTCAGAAGTGTAGTAAGAAATAAGTAATAAGTTTTCTATTTGTAGCAATGCATGTCACCTCAGAGTGGCAGAGAGTATGCCAAAGCTAGACCACATGAACTTGCTCAAAAGATAACCTTACATGGACAGGATCAAGGAAAAGCATTTCATGGCCTGCGGAACTCTTTTTCCTATACAAATTGCCTATGAGAGAGTGAGACCCAACATACTTTAGTAATACTATAATATTTAAAAATACTATAAATAGTCTATTAAAATACTATTACTTTAGTAAAAAGTATATTTTTTAAAAAAGTAGCCTCTTGATTATCCTCACACTATAAACAAACTTACCTGTGTCCGTGAGTTATTCTCACAGTAATATGTATATTCTGTGCTCCAGGGTTCTAGTTCATAATTCTCTCAAGGCTCCCATGTTTTCTGTCACAGCTTTCCTGAAAAGTGGCAATTGAAAATTCCAGGAGTGTGATTGTTCTTCTAGAAGACATATATACCTAGAACATTTGGGAGTTATACCCTTACCTTCCTTGCTCTCTTTTTTTCTTTCCCTTCTTGAGTTCGAATTTCCTTTGTACCTGATGAGTTTAATTTTAAAATGAAAAATTAGAGTTTCCATGACTGTTTAGATGAATGGTAGTGATTTGTTATATTGGTCTGTATAGTTGTGTGGTATTTTCTTTCCCCCTAGGAATGCTGTCTCTGCAATTTGAGAGGTGGTGCTCTTAAGCAAACTAAGAAACAATAAGTAAGTAATGCATTACTATGTTGAATTTTATCATCTCTTTCTCTTCTGTAGAACCTCTGCATGAGGTTTTGTTTTACATCCCTGCACCACATTGTCCTAAGCTTTGCTGCCACACTATTCAGGTTGGCTCATGTGCTTCAAAGACTACTGCGTGACAGCATGGACAAGACTATTCTAGGGCTTGGCTTCTGCTCTATTTGTTTGCACCATGAAAAAGATTCCTTTTCCAGCTAACAGAGTTTTAAAATGGGAGCTGTCCTAATTGGTTTAGGTACCACTAGAATCCCTAGTGTTTAATATGATGAATCCTATATTAGTCTATTAAAAGCCAAGAATATTACCTGAAATCAGTGAAACTATATCTTTAGGTAATGAAATCACAAGCAATGACATTAAAACATAGCTATTTACTTGCATACCTCAGTGCCAGATCCCAGCACTGTATTGCTCCATGCACCCCAATTTTATAAATTTCATCCAAAGTTTAAAAATTGAGAGATTTTTACATAAAAATCTAGATTCTCATCTTTACTTATAAAGTTATTCACATGTGTGTTTAGCAACAACAACAAGAAGTTTAGGATGAGGATTTGGCTTTTTGGGGCAGAGGAGTCCCCACGTCACCATTATTTCCCTATGTGGTTATTGCTTGCATCCTACCTGATGTCATGGCAGTGGATTGGGCTGCTGGTGTTTTGTAATGATAGAATTAATCATTGTGCATGTCCACTTATTTTCTGATTGTTTAGAAGAACAAGTAAAGCTAATGCATGATAAAGTTTAGTTTAAGAAACTGCAGTTTTGCTTGATTGAGAGCATGTTTCACAGATCTAGCCAGTTCTAGTTGAAAGTCCTCACTAGTTCTTGGATGTTATATAGCCCCAACATACGTGTGAGATCGGTTAGGGTGGTTCCTGTAAAGACAGACGTGTTCTAGCAGAAGTTCTCTTCCTACCTTTCAGCTAACATCAAAAACAAACTGTGTCTCCGATATATAGTTGGGCCATTTTATTTAAAAATGCGAAGAATCTCCTTGTGGAGTTGATTTTTGTCTGTCTTCCTGTGGTCTTGATGAGTCTGATGCTTATAGAAACAGATATGCTTTGCTTAAAACATGTTGATGGATTTGAAAATTCTTTAAGATCTCTTTTAATCCTCATGAGTCTTCATAATTTATTTAGAAGATAGGCATTTCTGAGGCACTGCATAATATTTATAGGAAAAACTATCATTTTTTGAGAACAATTTCAGAATGTAAAGGAGATTCTAGGTTTTAAGGAGAAGAAGACCAGGGAACAAGCAAAATTTCATTTCTCCTTGTCTATAGGTTCCTTTGATATAATAGGATTGCCATGAGAAACAATTTAATTAAGAAAACTTAACTAGTTATTCTTACAGAAAATTTTTTGCAATAGCCAGTTTGATACCTTTTTATTAATTGAACTCTTCTTTTGCCGATATATTCACTTTAGCTGTTAAAGTACCATTAAACCATATTTTAGCCATTGAAAGTGAAACAGGCAAACATACATTTCAGTATTCTCCATATCGAAGTATAGAAAAATGTATTTATGTTAACAGGACTGATTCCTTAGTCTTTACCTAAGTTTTCATGTCATAGTTGTTGTGTTGAAATTATAGTCATGTGTCAATCCAGCGAGTCTTTAGAATCAGAATCTGGTTGGAGATGGATTTAGCTTTAAGCTTTCTTTCTCATCTGTTATTTTCCGTTTGCTGGATTGCATTGCAAGGGTTGAATACAGTGGTTATGTAAGTTAGGGAACGTTTCTTATTTATGTTTTAATGTCTACTTTTCTGTAGGTGGGCCCACCGTCATGTGCGCTGTTGCAGTTCCGAAGTTCGATTCACTAATGTCCCAGATAGGGAACACAACATAGGATGTAGGCAGAATACCTTTACAGAGGTTAAAATTGGTGAGTGCTTCAGATTCTTTTGTACCTTCATAAGTGTTAGTATTAATTTCCAGTTCTGAATCTGTATTAATGCACACATTCCCAAGTTGAATGTTTTCTCCTACCTGCATTTATTTAATCCTTTATTGTGTTTTATCCTAAATTATTTATCTTTATAAATTCTTTTTCCTGTTATGGTTTGTAAATCTGCATAACCATCCTCCAAATTTTCTGTTTGAAATGAGGATAAAGATTAATACATTTCCTGGGTTACTGTTAACTTTCCAAACTATAGAATATCTACTGAGATTTTGTTCAATAACAGGGACTCACTGTCCAAATTCTATTTAAAGTTGTGCAGTGTTTTCTTTTTCTTGCCTCCCTTGGTTGTCTTGACTTAGCAAAATTATTCAAACCAAATTCATTATCTCTGTAATCTGAAAGAGATACAGAGAAATACAAAGCTTTTATTATTATAAGGGGATTTACTTGGTCATAAATTAGATACAAGTCACTTTATATTGCCCAACTCTTTGGGCTGTTATCTTTCTGATCTAGTAAAAAAAAGTTCCATGAAACTCTTTCCCCACTGTTTCCCTCGTTGAACCAGTTTTTTCTTTTGAAAATATAGGCCTTGATTTGTTCTTTAAAATTGAGGTAATTTTGTTCAATTATGAG